CTTATAGCATGGCACCTTTTTGCTGTCAGCGTCCATCTAAGCTACACTTGACAGCTGGAGCAGACCACAGTTTTTCTAGCTGTCCACCTCTTCCAGACAGCTTGTTTCTAACTCTTAGTTATTATAAAGCTTTTTATGAACGTTCATGTGTAGATTAGAGCCTTTTAAGTTTTATTATTATTATTTATTTATGCATGTGGTGTATATGTGCACATGCATGCCCATGGAAATCAAATGGGAGTTGGATCCCCTGGAACTCAAGTTAGCTGCCCAGTGTAGGTGCTGGGAAAAGTGTGTGCTCCTAACCACTGAGCCTTCTCCCCTGACCTAGATTGTTTTATTTCTTTGAGATTAATATCAAGTATAGTTTTGGGTTAATATCAAGTATATAGACCTTAATGTATAATCTTGGCTGGTCTAGAACTCTCTGTGTAGATAAGACTGACTTCAAATTTATGGTGATACCCCTGCCTCTGTTTTCAGGGTACTGGAATACTGACATGAGCCACCATGCCTGGTTCTCACTGGTTTGTTTATTTATGGTTGTGATTATAATTATAATTTTGTTTCTTGGTTTCTCTTTTTCTCTCTCTCTCGCTCTCTCTTTTTTTTTTTTTTTTTTTGGTTTTTCGAGACAGGGTTTCTCTGTGGTTTTGGAGCCTGTCCTGGAACTAGCTCTTGTAGACCAGGCTGGTCTCGAACTCACAGAGATCCACCTGACTTTGCCTCCCAAGTGCTGTCTTTTTTTTTTTTTTTTTTTTGGAGACAGGATTTCTCTGTATGGTAGGCCTGGCTGTCCTGGAACTAGTTTCTGTAGATTAGATTGGCCTCGAACTCACAGAGATCCTCCTGCCTCTGCCTCCCAAATGCTGGGATTAAAAGTGTGTGCCACCACCACTTGGCTTTGTTTATTATTTTTTGAAATAGGGTTTTATGTGGTCTGTAATGACCTCAAACTTGCTATATAGCCCAGGATGACATTTAGCTTCTGATCCTCCTTCCTCTGCCTCCCGAGTGCTGAGACTGATAGGCATACAGTACTTCGCTGGATTTTATGACATGCCGGGGGTTGAACTCAGGGCTTTGTGAATGCTGGCCAAGCACTCTACCAGCTGGGTTACATTCCCAGCCCAGGTTTACTGCTGTGAATGTGCGTATGTGTGCATTGGTGTGGACATGTGGAGCAGAGGACATGTGTGCATGTGCATGGAGGCCAGAGGTTGGCATTAGCCTAAGTTGCTCTCCTGTATTTATTTAATTTATATTATTGACACAACGTTTCACTGTGTAGCCCTGACTGGCCTGGAACTCACTGTGTAGATCAGGCAAGCCTCAGAATTTATAGCAATCTATTTGCCTCTACCTCCTGAGTGCTGGGATTAAAGGTATCTACACCTCCTTGCCAACTCCACCTTATTTTTTGAGGTAGGATCTTTCACTAAACCTGGAGCTCAGTAGCCAGGTGGTGGTGGCACACGCCTTTAATCCCCGCACTTGGGAGGCAGAGGCAGGTGGATTTGAGGTGAGTTTGAGGCCAGCCTGGTCTACAGAGCAAATTCCAGGATAGCCAGAGCTGTACACAGAGAGACCCTGTCTCAAACAACAACAACAACAAAGCTGGAGTCTGTGATTTGGTTACAGTGACTGGCCAGTGAGCTACAAGATGGCTCAGCTCCCCTCGGGTTGCAGACACAAGCCACAGCCTCGGGATTTTCTGTGGATGTTGTGGATATGCTTACACAACAAGCCCTTCTCTGACCTAACCTCCTCTCCAGCTCCCTGCTTTATTCCTTTATCCTTAAGCAAACACTCAGGGGCTTAGGTACTGGATTCCATAATAAGCTGGACTATGTAATAGCCTAGGTAAGTCAGACTTTCTCGTTCTGACCGTCCTGCTCGTTCATGCACATTTCATGCTGAGCTTCAGATGCACTGTCTGGGATGAGTGGGCAAACACTCACTTTACAGTTTTCATACCCGTGAGGGTCTCCCTCTGTTTGCTTAGGTCTCATCTCTTACCTTGCAATATTGTTTTATGATTCTCTGTGCAGGCCTTCTGTTAAGTCTCTTAGTATTTGTGTTCGGGTTTCTCTCATGATAGTAGACAGAGGGTTCCTCTGCTGCTGTCTTCTCAAGATGCAGGTTTCGGTTGAGGGAAGACCAAGGGAAGGAAAACAGGGAGACTTTTGTAGCATCTAGGCTGCAGCACTCAGGACCAGACAGCTCTGTCTGTGTTAGGAGCTTTAGTGGTTCCCTTAGTTACTCTACAGGGTCTACAGCTTGGGAACTGATGCTGGTCAGGGTGGAGGGTAGGAAGCAGAGCGAGAACAGGACTGTGTATGTGTGAGTGCTGGAGTGTTGGGGTTGGGTTCCTGGTCATAGGAGCGACAGGAAAGGAATGGGGATTTGCAGTGAGACTATGGGAGAGCATCTACTTTGGTGAGCAGGTAGATGGTACAGTTGTGACAGAGGCATTAGCAGGAAGAAGAGGTCAGTGAGGTGGCAGAGACCTGCAGAATTATCCATGAGAATACTCAGATCATCAGGAATTCCGCTACAGTGTAGGACAAGACTCTATGGAGAGGAGACAGTGCTTTGCAAGTGTAGTGATAAAGGCTCTGTGTATATGTGTGTGTGTGGGGGGGTAGGAGCCCACTGAGAGGGCAGCCGGTGGGATGGGAGCCGCACTGAGAAACTGTAGTCCCTCAAGAGAGGATGTGCGCTTCCCAGCCGGTATCACTGGGCAACCATTAAAGCAGTCTGGAGGTGGTGGTTCACAGCTCTAAACCCAGCATGTAGGAGGCAGAAGCAGGCAATCTCCATTGACTTAGAGACCTGCCTGGTCTACAAAGCAAGTTCCAGGATAGCCTTGGCTGTATAATGAGAACCTGTTTAGAAATAAAACTAAACAAATTCCAAAACCTATTGTTGGCTTTTAGGTCCTGGGAACATGTGGAGCAGATGTCAAAGCTCCCTTGCCATTTAAGCCAATGCTCTGGTGAGGGGTTCCCTCTGCAAGGGGCTGCTGAGCTGCAGGGATCCACCTCAGCTTGTGAGAGCCATAGGACCTCTGTGTTGCCTGCGCTTGAGTCCTGTGAGTCAGGGCCTGAGAATGAATGTACTCACTCTTTTATATATATACTCATTATATAAATAAAGGATTTATATAATGTTACATAGTAGATATAATGTTCTGGCTGGCCTTGAACTTACTGGGATCCTTGTATCCGAGACTCCTGAGTTCTGAAATTGCAGGTGTGAGCCACCATACCTTGTGCGCCATGTAGGTTTAATTTCATCTCCTTTTTATAATACAGACTTGTGAAAACTAAGTGTAATCGGATTTGTGGGATTTCCTTTCAGTTTCTGGGTTTTGTGTCTTGTTATAAAGCTCGCTTTCTCTCTCTCTCTCTCTCTCTCTCTCTCTCTCTCTCTCTCTGTGTGTGTGTGTGTGTGTGTGTGTGTTAGGGTTATGAAACATTTTCTTCCTTTGTCCTTATACTCTTGGATTTTTTTCTTTTCTTCTCTCTCTAATCTTTTTTTTTTTTTAGATTTATTTATTATCTATACAGTATTCTGTCTGTATATATGCTTGCAGGCCAGAAGAGGGCGCCAGATCTCATTACAGATGGTTGTGAGCCACAATGTGGTTGTTGGGAATTGAATTCAGGACCTCTCTCTCTCTCCCTCTCCCTCTCTCTCTCTCTCCCTCTCTTCTTTCTGTTTTGTTTGTTTGTTTGGACACAGTATCTCACTACGTAGCCCTGGTTGTCCTGGAACTTGCTTTGTAGACTAGGCTGGCCTGGAACTCATAGAGATCTGCCTGCCTCTGCCTCCTGAGTGCTGTGATTAAAAGCTTGTGCCACACTGCCCACCTGGCTTTCTTTTTCTTAAGGTCATGTGTGCGCTGCCTGGAATTTATTTTGGTGTTTCCCAGGCAGCTTGCCACTGCCAGCATTTGAGTCCTCCCCAGTGTGGGCCTCTGTGGCCCTCCTGTGTCAGAATGGGTTCTGAGGGTCCTTTCTGCCACCCAGTTTCCTACAGGGCCATGGGCTCTGTCTATACCCCTGATGACTGCTGCCGTTTGAGCACTTTCTCTGGACTTCTATGTGCCAGCTGTCCCGTCTCTGAAGCTCCTCCATCTGCCCTCTTGGCCCTTTCCTCCCGTGTAGCTCCCTGTTATTCCCAGTCCTGTTCCCCATAATTGGTCCTGTTTCCCTGGAATGTCTTCCTGCCCACTTCCTGCTGTGGGATCTCTCCTTGCCCTCCCACCTCATTCTCCTCAGTCTCTGCCATCGGTGTGAAGGCCTTTGCAGCTCCTCCAGGTGCTTCATGGTGGCTTGACCACCTGGGTGGCCTTACCTTCATTCCTTGCCCGGTGCCTAGGTGCTGTTCTTTCTCCGGGTGCCACAGTGTACCTGTGCCATGGCAGTTTACGCTCACCTTGCCGAGTACAGAGCTCTCGACATAGTTTCTACCAGGAGTAATCTTCACGTGGTCTAAGTTCAGCTACACTGTACCAGGCACAAGTACTTCCCCCATACCTGTTCCCGTTTCTGCTTCCTTCTGACACAAGTCTTTCTCATGTTTACCATTATAAATGTACACACCATTGTCTGTGTATATAACAGTGGGGACTGGACCCGGGCCAGTGTGACTTCTGGACAACTGCAGGTGGCTGTGATTGCCTGCTTGACTGCTGGGACCTGAACCTAGGAAGTTCTCTTAGCACCAAGCCGTCTCTCCAGTCTGATCTTATGTCTTTTTTGTTTGTTTGTTTGTTTTGTTTCTTGAGACAGGGTTTCTCTGTGTAGCCCTGGCTGTCCTGAAACTTACTCTGTAGACCAGGCTGAACTCGAACTCAAAGACCTACCTGCCTCTGTCTCCTGAGTGCTGGGATTAAAGGCGTGTGCAACTACCTTTAATAAATAAAAATTATTATTATTTTTAATAGATGAATAAGCATGATTTGTTAGAGCTCTTTTGACCATAGTGTGGTGTTCTAGTTAGGTTTCTGTTGCTATGATAAAACACTGAGCAGAAATAGCTTGAGGGAGGGTACAGCCGTCATCTAGGGAATCCTCAGAGGGACACTGCCAGTCACTGGCTTGATCTCCACGGCTTATTTAGCTTTCTTGCTTATAACTCAGGACCACCTGCCCAGGTGCCACTGCCCACGGTGGGCTGAGCCCTCCCACGTCTGTTATTTGAATAAACAAATCCATTTTCATTTCACACTCAGGAAGGCTGCCTGGGAATAGAAATGGCACAAGGGTGTCTCAGTGGGCTGCTGGCTGTACAGAGGGCACAGGTAGGGGTCATCACTCTACTGCTTGGTTTTTATCAACAGGACACAAACTAGAGTCACCGGAGGGACTTCCCAACAGATAAAATGCCTCTGCACTCTGGCCTCTGGGCCATTGTTTTGACTGCTGATATATGTTTGTTTATCCAGAGTCTCATCAGCTTCTACATCCATGTCAGCATCTTGCAGCCGCTTTCAGACACTGATCTGCTTTGACTTGTGGCGGAAATGAACATACAGATATTATTCTACAGAATGACGAAACCTTATTTGCATGCCCATTAGTATGAGTTTCTAAGGAGGCACCTATCTTGCTACAAACCAGATAAACTCTCCAGCTGACTTCCTCTTGTCATGCTCAGCTCAGGGCTTCTGATCAATTTCCCTGTTGCTGCCCCATGTCTTCTTCAGGTGCCAGCTTCCTCCATGGTGTGCAGCCTGGGACACAAGAGCTCTCCCCTCTGCCGCCTTGACTTGTTGAATGGGCTTCAGTAATAGGGGTCCTAGGAGACAGGTATCAGAGAAAACATTCCGGGTCTGGAGATGAACCTTCAGAGAGGCACTGTGGGTGCTCGTCTGTGAGCATCCGAGCTTGTGGACGGTGCCCTGCCTGCCCCCTCTAGCTGTCCTCCCAACTTGTGGACGGTGCCCTGCCTGCCCCCTCTAGCTGTCCTCCCAACTTGTGGATGGTGCCCTGCCTGCCTCATTAGCTGTCCTCCCAGCCTTTCCCTCCTTTCCTCTCAGCTCTTCGTCCTTTCTCTGGACACCTCTCCTTTGTCCTTATTTCTGGGTCATCTGCCTCCACCCATACTATTCCTTGTTCCCCAGGTGTTTAGGTTCCTTGCAGCTCTCAGGCTCCAGGCTCACTACAGATACCATGTGGTAGGTTAAAAGGCACTGTGGTTTGGTGATTAACAAGGCAGTGCTGGCTACACATCAGATGGGAAGCTGTCATTGCAGGTCTGTGGACAACATCTGGGCAGCTGATAAAGGACTTCTTGGTGTGACAGGGCTATCTCAGCAGCCCTTCATTTGGGTCTGGAGCGCTTAGACCTGCTGGAGTCAGTACCTATAAACCAGCGGAATTGGTTTGTCTGTAGCAAAGGCTATCATGGCTTGGTTTTCCTGAGTATAAATTGGGAGTGAGAGTAAGTGCTTCCTAAAGGGCCTTATAGTTGGGAAGGGTAGGAAAGCCGTGGGCCCCAAGGGGTTGATTGTGTTCTCATTGGAACTGTAGAGAATGGGGTTGGAGTTAGGGTGCTGACCTCATGCAGGATGAAGGCCAGCTGCCCATGGGACTCTCTGTAGGCTGGGTCAGTCCAGTGGTGCTCAGGCTGAAGGGTGGGGATTGGGGTCAAAGTCCTGTAGGAGGCTTTCCTGTGCTGGGTCCTACATTCCTGGTTCAGCTCAGCCAGGCTTGAAGCCCAGATCTGGAGTAAATCAACCAAATTATCTCTGTTTGACATTCCAGAGAGGCTCTAGGAAGGATTTGTGGAAGTAGGGCAGGAGCTGCCTTCCTCAGCCCCATTTTGGCCTGGGTGTGATATTGGGGCCATTTGGTAGAACGGTTGGACTGGCTATCAAGCCTTAGTAGGTTAGCTGTCTTCGTGACTCTGGCAGGCTAGGAAGAGGAACCACGCCTTAGGGTCAGCTGGGTCAGCCAAGGCTCAGCTAGGCAGGAGGTGGCTCTCCTCCTAGAACTTCAGAAGAGCCCACTGGCTCTCAGCTGGCCTGTTCCCTTTGAGGCTGGCTTCTGGAGGAAAGCCAGACAGCCAGCTCCTGGGATCAGGGGACTGAAAGCTTAGAACTCAGCCTGCTGGGAGTTGAGCTAGAACGCCGTTGGAGTGTGAACTGTGTCTGTGGACGATATGTGTGGTAGGCCTGGGCTCACTGGGGTCCCCTGGGTCCCCTGTAGTCCTATCCCCTTCACACAGTCTGTCCTCAGGCACGTTCCAGAAAGGTCAGGAAGGTGGGTCCACAGAAGTTGGGGAAGACAGCCTTCTGGGCAGTTTGCTATACTTATCTTCCCTCTGCAGCCTTGCACTGTTTGCAGATGTGCATTAGAGGAGACACCCAAAAGCCAGCCTGCTTTCTACTTGACACGTGGCTGCTGTCCTCGGGTTGTCTTCTGTCCTTAGAACAAGGGCATCAGGATAGCTTTCCGTTTGTCTAATGATGGGGGGCAGGGAGGTATCTCTTAGTTCCTCTTCCCCGTGGGTCTGGTATCCCCATGACTTCAGCTGAGTGCCACTCAGGATGGCAGAAATACTGACTGGCCTGAACTGGCTTCGTGATGGGAACAGGGCAGATGCCAGGCCACAAAGGACTCGGAGCAGAGTCTGTTAAGCCTTTATGCTATCCCTGGAAAGCCAGGGAAGAACCCTTGCCCAGCACAGCCAGGACTCTGAACTTGGCCCTGGTCTGGCAATTCTCTTGTTTCTGTTGTACTGTTTAGCCTGCACAGCCTTTCTGGAAAGGATGGATAGGGTCCTGAGAGTCCTTGTCCTATTCTTCCCTAAGTGTATGGGGAGCAAGCCGAGCAAGCCCCAGGACATATTGTTGACTCTGTGTGCTGTGGGCAGAAGGTGGGTCCCATACAGGACTTGTCTGGTGCCCTGCTTCTCCCCATGAGCTGACCTTGGTGTGTTTCCTTATTCATATTTACTCCTCAGGTGTGTGTGACGGCCGGAAGGGGAGACTCCCCTGAGAAAATATTGGCAGGTTTCCTGTCTCCTCGCTGCCTAGAGATTGTTACCCTTGGACACTGGAAGCTGGACCCCCAGGACTGACCATACGCTCTGGCCTTTGCTGTTGTACCTCCTGAGACCTAGCTGTGCTGGCTGGACACCAGCCAGAACACTGAGGGCAGCCAGCATGGAAGAAGAGCAGAGGCTCCCGGGGGCTGCCAGGGGCTTGCTGCTGATTGGCCCTGCCTTCCATTCTCCTAGGCAAGGTGCCAGGAAGCTGGAACTTTGTAATCTGGGTAATTAGCTTCAGACCCTGGACTGAGGCCGGCCAGGTCTTAGGGCTACTTCCCACAGGCTGTGCACCCTGACCCCAAGAGGGAGGCGAGGCGCTGTATACAGAGGCCCTGCCAGCTGAGCAGTTAAATTGTCAGTCCTGCTTGGGGAACGACTGCAGCCACCCCTCACACACACACCTTCCACCCCACCCCCTGCCACACTGCCCTCCCTGCCTAGGCTCTGCCCCTTAGGGCAGCTAGGCCTGGTCATAGTGTGGGGCCTTCTGTTTCAGCCTTGTCAGGAACAGAGAGCACCAAGTCTTAGGAAGGGGATGCCCCCAAGGGTGCCAGTCCAGCCAGCTGCCCCACCCTTCAGGCTTGTCCTGTCCCCGCAAATCCAAATTGTGGTGCCCCAATCAACCCTGTGGGCAGACATCCACCACCATGGCCGAGCACCTGGAGCTGCTGGCAGAGATGCCCATGGTAGGCAGGATGAGCACCCAGGAGCGGCTGAAGCATGCCCAGAAGCGACGTGCCCAGCAGGTAAAGATGTGGGCCCAGGCTGAGAAGGAGGCCCTTGGCAAGAAGGGTCACAAGGAGCGACCACGGAAGGAGGTGTCTGACCTAAGGCCTCGGAAGCAGGTCCTCTTCCCTCCCAGCATTGCTCTCCTGGAGGCTGCTGCCCGAAACGACCTGGAAGAAGGTGAGTGTGCCCGAGTCTTAGGGCAGGGCACAGTAGGCACTCCCATCTGTCTGGGTGTGGCCCTGCTGTGTGCTGGCTCAGAACTTGTCCTCTAGCCCCAGCTCTGCTACTAACAGTCAACTGTCCTTAATAGAGGTGCATGCAGGAGGTCTTTCTCTGAGAAAACCAGATACAGGATGGTCGGAGCACAGGGTAGACACACGTGGTTGCAGAGAAATAGTACTTGGACTGATAGCCATCACCGCCTCATAACAGAGTGCAGAGCTTCCTGCAAATCCATTCCCTTTGTGCATGGCTCCTGGAGAGTGGGCTAGCATTGCTCACCTCTGGTTAGAGATGGAAAGTAGGTGTTGGCCAGGTCCAGTGTGGGTCCCAGAGCATACGTGGCCTGGCACTACCACACATTTCCCCAGGTCCTGCCTTTGACTTTTATCTTCTTTAACTGGAATCTTCCTAGTATGAAGACAAGCCTAACCTTAGCAGGCCCCCTTTCCTTTCTGCACCCTGTGCTTGTATATAACTTCTGGAACCTGGAGGAAGAGGCATCTGCTAGCTCTTGAGGACCTAGAGCTAGGTCCTTCCTGCCTTCCTTTTCTTGCAGTTCGCCAGTTCCTTAGTAGTGGGGTTAGCCCCAACCTGGCCAATGAGGATGGCTTGACGGCACTGCACCAGGTGAGCCCTGCAGGAGTCGGGGTGAGGCAGGCTGGCCTCTCTGGGGGTCAGGGCATGGGGCTTAGGTTGCTTGTTTGCAGTGCTGCATTGATGACTTCCGAGAGATGGCACAGCAGCTCCTGGAGGCTGGGGCTGATGTCAATGCTCGGGACAGTGAATGCTGGACACCTCTGCATGCTGCAGCTACCTGCGGCCATCTGCATCTGGTGGAACTCCTCATTTCACGGTAGGACCTGCTGGGTGTCCAGGCGGTGGCTCAGGTGACCCCTCTGGGATGCTTCCTCTGTCTTTACCTCCTCTGTCAACCTTACCTGGGATCCAGGGGCAAGAGTGTGTTCACTGTGCTTTTGGCCTGCTTGGCAGGCTGGATTTCCAACTCTGAACCCAGGGACTTTCCACAGTTTGCATAGGAAAGTGCCATTTGGTCAGTGTTGAGGATGGGCTTGGTAAGGAGGGAAGTGCCAAGGTACAGCTGAGGCCTTTACCCTAACAAGGAAGGTAGAGCAGAGGGGCCAGTGGCTTCTTTAGAGTCAGGCACTTCTCTAGTAGGTCCGCCTATAGAAGCTTGGTCCTATACCTATAGAAGCAGATGAGTTTCTGTCCCACACGTAGGTAATGGACGAGGGCTGTGTAGCTAGCAGCTTCCTTGGGCTCTTCTTGGAGCTGGTGATGGACTGCAGGCATTCTTCTGGTTCTGCTTTTCCATAATGCACAGGCACTCCTTCTATGTTCTGGGGCCCCAGAGTCCTTGCACATCTGCAAGTGCCTCTACCCTATTTATGGGAGTAGATGGGCATCGTAGACCTGAAGCCTAGATGGACAGAAACTGCTAAGTCTAGCTTGAAGACAGGATCTGGGGCTGAAGGGTGGCTTTTCCAGCAGGAGCCAGGAGCTTTGTTTTCTTCTTCCTCAGGACAGTCCTAGCCTGAGGGCCTCTGGTGATGGGGACTGAGGGCTCCTTGAGCAGGAGCTGCTATGGAAGCAGGAGGCCAGTGGCTTGTCAATCTTCCTTGTAGTGGCGCAGAGCTCCTTGCAGTCAACACCGACGGGAACATGCCCTATGACCTGTGTGAGGATGAGCAGACACTGGATTGCCTCGAGACTGCCATGGCCAATCATGGTGCGTGTGTTGTGCCTACCCACAGGGGGTGATGCCTGAGGTCATGCCCTCTCTGAGCCAGCTTGCCCCTCAGGTATCACCCAGGACAGCATTGAGGAGGCCCGGGCAGTGCCAGAGCTGTGCATGCTGAATGACCTCCAGAGCCTACTGCGCGCTGGGGCCAACCTCAATGACCCTTTGGACCATGGGGCCACGCTGGTGAGGACTTAGTCACTTGGGGGTGTCTGTCCTGGGGCAGGTACTTGGAAGGGGTGTGGGGCTGGGATTCAGGGCTGAGTGGTCTGCCTGCAGCTGCACATCGCCTCTGCTAATGGGTTCAGTGAGGTGGCTACCCTGCTGCTGGAGCAAGGAGCCAGCCTGAGCGCTAAGGACCATGATGGCTGGGAGCCTCTGCATGCTGCAGCCTACTGGGGCCAGGTGAGTGTCCATGGGAGCAGGGAGAGGGAAGGTTCCCGGCTCTAGTTGGAGCCCTCAGCCAAGCAGCTACTGCTGGCTGCCTGCAGGTGCACCTGGTAGAGTTGCTTGTGGCACATGGGGCTGATCTGAATGGAAAATCCTTGGTGGACGAGACGCCCCTCGGTGAGTGTGGGGTTGCCTACATCTGGCAGAAGGGACTGGCCATGAAGATGCCTGTGACACCTCTCTCCATCTCTTCTCAGACGTGTGTGGGGATGAGGAGGTGAGAGCCAAATTGCTAGAGCTCAAGCATAAACAAGATGCGCTCCTGCGGGCCCAGGGCCGTCAGCGCTCCCTGCTGCGCAGGCGGACCTCTAGTGCAGGCAGCCGTGGGTAAGCCTCCTGCTGCAGGACACTGTCTACCTGCTGAGACCTAGGGTCTGCCCCATGCATGTCAGCTGGCAGCAGAACCCCAGTAGGCAGAGATTGCGAGCTGGATGACGAGGTCTCGACTTCCTCCCTCCCCAGAAAGGTGGTGAGGAGGGTGAGCCTGACGCATCGCACCAACCTGTATCGCAAGGAGCATGCGCAGGAGGCCATCGTGTGGCAACAGTCACCACTCACCAGTCCAGAGCCGCTAGAGGATGAGGACAGACAGACAGATGCTGAGCTCCGACTGCAGCCCCCAGAGGTGAGGATGCAGCCCCTGTCCTGTCCCACATGTGGGGCAGACTTGGCATGCGATCTTGTTATTTAGTACTTGGTCCTCTATCCTTGCTAGCCCCCGGTGTTTCCCTAGTTGGGCTAGGCAGCGTGGGTAAGCTGCAGGTCACTGTCTACCTAGGCTCTCCTAGGTATAGGCCCCGGACCTTCCCACTCTCATGTCTGTCCATCTGCCACTTTCACACAACCTGAAGCCCAAGGCTGGGTGGGATAGGTGAGAGAAAGCACCTCCCAATGGCCTCTGGGGTCCTGGCTCTGCCCACAGGAAGACAGCTCTGAGGAGGCCAGGCCACACAATGGCCAAGTAGGGGCCCCACAAGGGAAGCACCTGTACTCGAAGCGTCTAGACCGGAGTGTCTCCTACCAGTTGAGTCCTGCGGAGAGCAATGCCCCTGATGCCCTCGTCCGGGACAAGGCGCACCACACACTGGCAGAACTTAAACGCCAGCGCGCGGCTGCAAAGCTGCAGCGACCGGCCCCTGAAGGGCCTGAGACCTTTGAGCCTGGCCTGTCTGTTGACACTGAGACCCCCCAACCGGACTGTGGCTTCAGAACAACTGGGGACCCACCTCTGCTCAAGCTCACTGCCCCCTCGGAGGAGGCTCCTGTGGAGAAGAGGCCGTGCTGTTTGCTCATGTGAAATGTGACCCCTCAGTATGGCAGGGTTCAACCCCATGCCCAGCCAGAGGCTTCCTCATGATCTCTGGCCTGGTGGCCCACTCCAGCACATGCCCCAGTGCTGTAGGGGAGCCAGCACAGAGCCCTGTACCCCCTTCCAGCCCAGGACACAGGCCACCTTGCTCAGGGATGGACTATGCAGAGCTAGCTGTACCTGTGGGCCTCAGGCTACAGGCTGCTTATCCTGTGACTCTTGATAAAGGCTGTTTGCCACTGAGCCTCCCCGTGTGTCTCGCTGGGGAAGGGGCAGGGAGTGCTGCTGGGTTAGGAGCCACCCATGCCCAGGAGTGCTCAAACCTGTAGATGCATGCTGGGGTTTGCAGGTGGCAGCCCCAGCTCTTGTGGGAGGGAAGCTCAAGGCCGCAGGCAAGAAGCCCTGCCTTTACCTCCACCTCTCCAGGCTGGTTCAGCTTCTTGGAGGCTCCTCTGTAACCCTTTGCTTTCCTGAAGGCAGCAGGAGACTTTGGAAGAAGATTCTCCATGGAAGTGCAGAGGGTAACCATGCAGAGGGACAGGGACTCTGGCTAGAAGGGATACTGTATTTTCTACAGCATTGGGCCAGAGCCAGCAGGGTAGAAGAGGCAGAAGGCTTGCTGTAGGCACTTCCCAGGGTCATGGTCTCGGTTCCTGGCATGCAGCCCTGATCCTGGGGCATATCTGCCAGCTTCCGCCTGTGCTGGTATAGGTGACAAGCACTTGGCCACTCAGGCTGTGCTGGCTAGGCACAATGCATCACAACGAGGGGGGCCCTTTAGGGGCCTCAGGCTGGAGGGAAGAAGGCAATTCTAGATCATGTCCCATTACATTTGGTTTGCATGGCCATCCCTACCAGGTGACATAAGCACTGACCAGGCCAGCTTCGTGTCCTTTCTCCAGGGCCTGTCCTTCTTCTAGCACCTGTGGTTGGAGGGTTAGTGTCCTTGGACAGGCTTGGGGGAGGGCTGGTGGCTGCTGGTTAAATTTAGAGTAGCACTGTGTGCTGCCTGAAGTCCACCTGCTGCCGCTGCTGCTGCTCGGCCCTGCTGGGAGGAGGCAGGCAGGGGCAGGCTCTGCCTGGGCCAAGCCTACATTAATCTGTGCTCTGGCCTAAGGGCCAGAAAGGCCAGTGAGAGGGAGGCCACCGTGTTATCAGGGCCAAGAGATCAGAGGTGAACGCCTCCGCACAGGGCCTCGAGTGGTGTTTCTTCCAGCCTGCAGGGACAGAGGGATCAAGGCTCACCTCAGGCCTTCCTAGCTGCCTGCTGTCCAGCTGAGAAGTCAGGCCCTCAGCCTGAGCCACAGATGTGTCCAGGGGCTTAGATAGTCAGTGCTGAGCTTGACCTTTAAGGCCAGTGGGAGTGGGGCTCTGTAGGCCTATCAGAGCTCACTTCCTGTTCTCTCCAATCAGGAGCAAGAAGGAAGGGAACTTAGTTACCCTTGGCCTGGGTTGTGGCCCTAAGGGCAACCTCAGGCTGATGTGTATAGAGAGGGCATGAGGGCAGCCCAGGGTGAGGTGTCCAGGACGAGATGTCCTGTCTCCAGGCTCTTCCCCTCCCCCCAAACCCTTGCGGTGCTGCAGTGCTCATCAGGGACCAAGGTCCAACCGTAACACTGACAGTCCCCATGGAACCCAGAGACCGGACACCTCCCTTCCCTCCCTCCGTGCTCCCCAGATATAGGGAGCCTGGCATAGGTACCCAGGAGAAGGAGATACGTCCACTTGCTTAAGTAAAGCTGGTGTGTGTCAGGTCGGAGAGGGCTAGGCCTCAGCTGGCCCTTGCTAGGGTCAGGCTCCAGTAGTTCCTGGCTCTGTTCTTAATAGACCCGGTTGTTGAATGCTCTCTTCCCCTCATTTCCAGTGTGTCAGATCTTGAGCCATCCGTCTGTCCCTACTCCCCAAGTGGGTCTCCTGCTCCCTCACTGGGACATTAGGCGGCACTGGGCCTCGCCCCAAGCCCCGCCTGCCGCCTTACCACCTCCCTCTGCCTCCCTGGGGCAGATCTGTGCCCAGACTGGTGGGGCGGGGCCCAGGGTGCTGCAGCTCCTTCAGTCCTTTCTGCCCCTTTCAGTAGGACCAGAAGGCTGTGGTGCAGAGGGTGGTGTCTTACCTCAGCAGACTTCCCCATTCCCAGCCCTGATTCCACGTCTGGACCGGTCTACTTCCTGAGCCAGTATCCTGCCTGGTCTGAGCAGTCATGGCCTCAAGAGCGAATGGTCAAAGCCAGGCTTCAAGGAATGGACTGAAAGGGAAGGTGTTAACTCTGGATACCATGAACCCGTGTGTGCGGAGGGTGGAGTATGCCGTTCGAGGACCCATAGTGCATCGCGCCTTGGAGCTGGAGCAGGAGCTGCGTCAGGTATTACCTTGGGCAATCGCTGCCCTTCTGCTAAACTTGGGTTGGTGAATTAGTCCCCAGCCCAGGGAATGTGGGACAATGGCAGGAGGATAACTGTCAGATCTCACTGCCTGCTCTCCTTTCCCAGGGTGTGAAGAAGCCCTTTACTGAAGTCATCCGTGCCAACATTGGCGATGCACAGGCCATGGGGCAAAGACCCATTACCTTCTTCCGCCAGGTTAGGCTGCTGAACTGCCTGTGGTCACACCTCCTTCCCCCCCCAAAAAACTGCTCTGGCCTCATTATTTGGTTCCCCCAGGTCCTGGCCCTTTGTGTCTACCCCAAACTTATGAGCAGTCCCGACTTCCCAGAGGATGTCAAGAGAAGGGCAGAACGCATCTTGCAGGCATGCGGGGGCCAGAGCCTGGGTAAGTGCTTGCTCCCGGTGGAGTCCAAGCCTTAGGGAGGGGCAGAGAGAGATAGGTCCCTTGGGAAGCTTGCAGGACTTGCCCCCCTCACTAGCTTGGCCTCTTTCAGGTGCCTATACCATTAGCTCTGGCATCCAGCTGATCCGGGAAGATGTGGCACAGTACATTGAGAGGCGAGATGGAGGCATCCCTGCAGACCCAAACAACATATTTCTGTCCACTGGGGCCAGCGACGCCATTGTGGTAGAGTGGGCCAGGCCAGAGTAGCCCTATGTGTGAGGCTAGATCAGGCTCAGTCTGATGCAGCAGCATCGGCTCATGGTAGGGGTGGGGGCGTGCAACCCTGATTGCACTAACACTGTGCTTCCTATCCCACCCACAGACAGTGCTCAAGCTGCTGGTGGCCGGTGAAGGCCGCGCGCGAACAGGTGTGCTCATTCCCATTCCTCAGTACCCATTGTACTCGGCTGCTCTGGCTGAGCTGGACGCCGTGCAGGTGGACTACTACCTGGACGAAGAGCGTGCCTGGTCTCTAGACATCGCGGAGCTGCGGCGCGCTCTGTGCCAGGCACGTGACCGCTGCTGCCCTCGCGTTCTGTGCGTCATCAACCCTGGCAACCCGACTGGTACGCCTCCTATCTGCTCCTCCCCATCTAGCTCCGCCTCATTGGACTCCTCCTACCAGCCCCGCCTCTTCCTCTGGGACCTGCTCCAGCTCTCCTGACCCCAGAGCGCCTGGGTTGAGCTTGGTTCTCTGGTTGCCCGTGACTGACCCTGTCTGTGCCGCATCGCCACACTCCAGGGCAGGTGCAGACCCGTGAATGCATCGAGGCTGTGATCCGCTTTGCTTTCGAAGAGGGACTCTTCCTGATGGCTGATGAGGTACAAAACGACCGGGGGAGGGGGGCACACATGGCAGTGGGCAGCAGTTCAGCAGCCCCCCTGAATGACACTGCTGCTCCTCCAGGTATACCAGGACAACGTGTACGCCGAGGGCTCTCAGTTCCATTCATTCAAGAAGGTGCTCACGGAGATGGGGCCGCCGTACTCGACGCAGCAGGAGCTTGCTTCCTTCCACTCGGTCTCGAAGGGCTACATGGGCGAGTGCGTACAGGCGCAGGGGGTGGCAGAGGTGAAACTGAAACTAGTAGAGAGCTTTTGGGACCACTGCCATGGCTCAGCAGCTCAACACCCTCTTCCCAGACCAGCCTCAACATGTGCTCTCCCCGGCCGGCAGGTGCGGGTTCCGTGGTGGCTATGTGGAAGTGGTAAACATGGATGCGGAGGTGCAGAAACAGATGGCCAAACTGATGAGTGTACGGCTGTGCCCACCAGTGCCGGGCCAGGCCCTGCTGGACATGGTGGTCAGTCCACCAGCACCCTCTGAGCCGTCCTTCAAGCAGTTTCAAGCAGTGAGCAGACCAGACCAGGCCAAAGATGTCTGGTGACCCAGCTTTGGGTGGGACTCCAGGGGGAGACATCGAAACCCTCTTCCATAATTCCCTCCTGTGGCTGCAGGAGAGGCAGGAGGTGCTGGCTGAGCTGGCAGCCAAGGCTAAACTCACCGAGCAGGTCTTCAACGAGGCCCCCGGGATCCGCTGCAACCCAGTGCAGGGCGCAATGTACTCCTTCCCTCGAGTGCAGCTGCCCCCGCGGGCAGTGCAGCGTGCTCAGGTGGGGAACGCAGGGTCACGAGGGGGCTGGGCAGGGTGTTGGCCTGGGAGCTGTGACCTGACCACCCTCCTGACCCTCAGGAACTGGGCCTGGCCCCTGACATGTTCTTCTGCCTGTGCCTCCTGGAGGAGACTGGCATCTGTGTGGTCCCTGGAAGTGGCTTTGGGCAACAGGAAGGCACTTATCACTTCCGGTGAGACCTGGTATAGTGTTGACCCCCCCCCCCCCCACGAATGGGCCTGTGCCCGGGCTTACTGTTTGTCCTTTTCAGGATGACCATTCTGCCCCCCATTGAGAAGCTGCGGCTGCTGTTGGAAAAACTGAGGCATTTCCATGCTAAGTTCACCGAGGAGTACTCCTAGATCACACTGGACGGCCTGTGACTGAATTAACTGAGGGTCCTTGGGAGCCTTCAGTATTTGCTGCTTTTGCCTAGGGTCTGGGTACCTGTCCCTGCAGGTCCCTAATAAAGCTGGGTGTCAGCCCGACTTGAAGTGGCTGCCTGGGTGACCCCAGCTTTTGATTTGATTGGCTTTGCGTAGGCAAATGGACCCTGCTTGAGGAACACTAGACACCTCATGTAAAGGAGCCGTGAAGGACGGCTCCCAGGAAAGGGCCTCAGGCTGCCATTCATCCATTTGTCTTAAGAGACGGACGCATCTGTGGCTAGGTCTTCATTATGGTCTTAATGTGGGGCATGTGGTGACCCGTTCAAATCAACTAACGTGCTAGTGAAGTGTGTGAAGACAAACGTGGGTCACATCTGCCTTCTAGGGCCAGCCCAGGGCCACGTGGGAGGGGATGAGGTTGCAGAGAATTCCAGGGGAAAGAGGTCTTAGAGGCTGCGTCAGAAATAGTAACTTTTCCCCCGGGCTACACAAATGCGTCCCTTGTTCTAGCACTTCCCGTGCCAACCACAGGGTGGAGCTGTTCAGCAGGGTTACACCAAGTTGGGAGTGACAGCAAGGGCTTGAGACGACTCCTGTGGAGCAAAGCAGGGGACAGCCTTTAGCAAACCACCTCTAGGCGCCCTTGGGGGTGCTGAAGGGAGACTCTGGAAGGGATGTGCCCCTATGCACAGCAGGTACTGGTGGGGTGCACTGGTTGGGTCTTTAGTGGTCCTCCGAGGTTAGGAAAAAAAATTGTCCCCCTCCTCCCAGCTTCCTATTCCCCTCCCCCCCCCCCCCCCCCCCCCCCCCCCCCCCCCCCCCCCCCACCCCCCCCCCCCCCCCCCCCCCCCCCGTCTCGTCCCTCCCTCCCCTCCCCCGGTTATTTGTGCAACTAGGATTGAATTCAGGACATGGAACTATATCCTGCCTGCCACCTTTCTCAATTTTAAGGCATGGTTTTGCTTGCTAAATTAATCCAAGTCAACCTGAAACACATGATGTTCCTGCCTCAGCCTGAATAGCTGAGATTACAGGTGTTCACAATCATGTCCTAAAGTAGAACCCACTTTATAGATGTGAAAACCTGGGCCCTGAAACTATCGAAGTTCTAGGACAGTAAGCCAATGCCAGGATGCTCAGACCTAGACACAGGGCCATGTGTCGAAATGGGCACAACAGAAGCACCCAGTTGTCCACTATGGACCCAGTTCTTTTTTTTGGGGGGGGGGGTCGAGACAGGGATTCTCTGTAGCTTTGGAGTCTGTCCTGGAACTAGCTCTTGTAGGCCAGGTGGACCCAGTTCTTAACCCAAGGTGTTTAACAGCCTTATGGTGGCCTTGGGAGGGCATTCTGGGAAGAGGGAAGGGATTGGGTACGGGCCTTCCTTGTAGGGCCAGAATCATGTGAGCTGGACTTGCTACCCTCACTTAACACTAAGGGAAGGGGGTATCATGGGTAGTAGCTGACTGGGTCCTGACCTTTCCCACTAAACTCCAGCTTTTGTGGTTACTGCCTTGAGAGGCTCTGAAGCCACAGTCATAGCCAGGTCTGGGGAGCAGCGCCAGAAGCACCATGGGAGCGAAGGATTAGAAATGTATGCGCCTTTAATCCCAGCACTCGGGAGGCAGACAGATCTCTGAGTTTGAGGCCAGCCTGGGCTACAGAGTGAGTTTTAGGACACCAGAGCTACACAGAGAAACCCTGTCTGGAAAAACAAAACAAGAAGCGCTTCTGAAAGAATCTAGTAGCCATTGAGAACAATGGAAGATACCTTTGAGATCAGCCTGTACCTCAGCGTCCTCCCAGCCGCTCGCAGGAGCTGGGAACACGGGAAGCAGGCTGCTGTGTCCAGGTTTGTCACCAGGGGCGCCAGAGCAGACATTCTCGGTCTGCGAAGGTTATCTGTAGCCTGCTTGATGTTTGCCGCTGGGGTTTTTGGCCAATTGAAGATAAGAATGCGGAATGAACAGGGAATTGGCTCCACCCCCAGCAAAAGGAGTCCGCCTCCCTTGCCTGACCCCTGCGCAAGGCATGCTGGTAGTCATGGGCTGTGCGCAGGCCCACCGAGCTCAGGTTTATTCCCGAGATTTCTCCAAACTTCGGTACTTCCGGTATATCGGCGCCCCAGTTTGCGCTCCGGGATCTTGGCTTGATTGTCCCTGAGCCTATGTAGATGGACTAGAGCCTGGCCTTTCCCGCTGAGCCGTCTGATTCACCCCGAGTTGGACATGCACGGGAAGCTGCTGCTGCTGGCCGGCCTCTATCTTGTGCAGGGTCTGCCCTACGGACTGCAGTCCAGCTTGCTGCCCATTTTACTGCGGGCCCATGGCCTCTCCCTGACACGTGTGGGCCTGACCAAGGGATTGTATGCACCATGGCTGTTCAAACTGGCGTGGGCGCCACTGGTGGACAGGCGGGGCTCCCCTCGGGTCTGGTTAACACTTAGCACAGTGTCCCTGGGTCTGGTGTGTGGGCTGCTGGCCGTGTTCCCTCCCCCGCAAGCTGGCCAGACAGGGCTCCCCACCATCATGATGGGGCTGCTACTGCTGCTGAATCTGGGTGCAGCAGTGCAGGACGTAGCTCTGGACACGGTCGCTGTGCAGCTCCTGGAGGCAAAGGAGCTGGGGCCTGGCAACACGGTACAGGTGGTGGCGTACAAGCTGGGGTCAGCATTGGCTGGGGGCGGGCTCTTGGTCCTCTTCCCCACCCTCTCTTGGCCACTGCTTTTTCTGCTCTTAGCTGCCACCTACTGGCTGGCTGCTGCCTTAGCCTGGGCTGCACCAGCTTTGGGACAGCTGCCTCGGCCTCAGGTCTCAGAACAAAACACCCACACGTCCTATTTTCTACAAGATTTGCTGGCTGTGCCTGGGACCCTCTGGACAGCAGGCTTTGTTCTCACCTACAAGCTGGGTGAGTGTATCTTTGAGTTCGGCAATGTCAAGCTCGGAGCCCTTGCTTCCCTAGGGCCCTGAAACCCTCCCCAGAGCTCTGTAGCTCAGTCTTCTCCCAGCTTCAGCCACAGCCCACGGGTGTTACTGATAGAGCTTCAAATTAGCTGGGCTTCAAGGCCCAGCTTTTACTAACACCTGGGGCCCATGGGCCTGGCTGGTTGGAGGACTGAGGCCCCAGGAAGGGAGAAAGGAGACCGGGTCCATCCTTGCTTATGGTCTCCTGTAGGTGAGCAGGGTGCAGGCAGCCTGTTTCCACTTCTCCTACTGGACCATGGTGTTTCTGCCTCAGACTTGGGGCTATGGAGTGGCTTGGGTGCTATGACCTGCTCCATTGCTGGCTCCTCTCTAGGGGGAGCTCTACTGGCCAGGCACTGGTAAGCACTCCCCAACCCTAATGTGACCCTCATCTCCACCGTCCCCCAGGGAGTCTTGCCATATTCAGTCTCCCAATTCCCACCCCAGGCAGCCTCTCTCCCTGTTGAAGTCAGTGCTGCAGCTACGCCTGGAGAGTTTGGCCTGCCAGACGGCTCTGCTTTTCTACCTCAGTACCCCAGGGGCCACTCTGGAGCCCGGTACAATCATGAGAGGTGAGAGGTCAGCCTTGACGAAGGAGGGAGGGAGCAAGAGCCAGGGGACCCACTGACATTTGCTCTTGTAGGGGCAGCTTTGCTGAGCCTGTGTCTACAGCAGTTTCTGGGCGGTGTGGTCACCACGGCCACATTCACCGTGATGATGCACTGTAGCCAGTTGGCACCCAGGGCCCGGCAGGTAAGAGGGCAGGGCAGGGATGCCCGGGGGCTGCAGGGCTAGGGAGCCACCAGGTCCTGATCTGTACTTCCATCCCCAGGCCACACACTACAGCCTCCTGGCCACTCTGGAACTGCTGGGCAAGCTACTACCGGGGACCCTGGCTGGAGTGCTGGCTGATGGCCTGGGCCCACGCCTCTGCTTTGCTGCCTTCCTCGTACTCTCGGGTCTGCCCATTCTGGATCTCAGCCTGGCACCCAGTAACCTGACCTGAGCTGCCATGTATGGCCTGGATGGCTGGAACACACGAGATGTAGCCGTCCTCAAACTGAGGACTCTGTTGCCAGAAAGGACATAAAATTGCTTTTTATTTGCACTTTGGTTTTGGCTAACGGTCAGTGATGGCTACGTCATTGCCTTGCTAGCACACGAACCCGACACCCTTGGTGTAGCAGCCACAGTCTGGCTTGCCCCATGCCCCACCATGTAGCTCTCCCATGGAAGGCGGTCATCGGCTGCTGAGCAGGAGCTCTTCTGTAGCCAAGCGCATCAGGACATGGAAGTCCAGATGTAGATACTTCCTCCAGAAACGCCGGTCCTGCCCATACACCTGGGCTGGGTAGCAGGGACTTGCTGTGATGGAGCAGAAACGTAGGCCTGAGGACTCAGCCGGCTCTAGCGCCCAGCTCCTCCCTAATGAAGGCAGCCCTGTGGCCCTCACCAATGCCGTGGAAGATGCGGGCCACAGCCCGTCCTGAAAACCTTTCCTCTGGCCGCACGGACAGGAGCTGACGGATATCACGGCGAATATAGTCCTCCCAGTCCTGAAGCTGTGGGGGGTGACATGTGACCTTCCCTGCGCCCCATGGCATCTGTCACATAAAATCACACCCCAAGCAGCCCAAGAAACCTTGAGCCAAGCAGGGGTTGGACTGTGGGGTTGGTTTGTACATGGGCATGTCATTATCCTTGGCTTTAGGAATCATCCATCTTCAGAGAGGTGGCACTTACCTGGTTCTGCCCAGGCTCTGGACCCTGCTCATCCTTCACAGTTTCCTCTTCCTCAAAGTAGTGGCTGAGCAAGGTCTTCAGCTGGCTGCTGCGGTCCTCATCCGACTGCTCTAGGCAGGGTCCACAGCTGGGAAAGGCCACACTGGGGAAGAGACAAACCTGTCAGGAGTGCCCCTGGGGTCGGAGTGGGTGGCCTGGGCTCTGCCTACCTTCTTCCCACCTGCGAAAGGCCTTAGCTATCTGGCGTAGATGGGCCAGGGCCTTGTGTTCTCGAGCCTGGACTCGGCTGTACAGAAAGTCGCAGATCTGGTCCTTGTCCTCATCTGTCAGGTCACCAGGACTGTGCAGGTGAAAGGCCAACTCTCTGAACTCCACAAGCACCCCTGTGCCCCGTGGTGCGCCTGTCAGCAAGTGTGTCAGTCAGAGGCCGCCAGGGGGCCAGCACAAGCTAGACTGAGGGAGGGCTGGGCATACCTTTCCTTGGTTCTTGGTCCCACTGCAGCTGGAGGAGAGCCTGCCGCACAGAGGCCAGCTCCCAGCCCATCGAATCTGCCAGCTCCACCATGTCAAACTCTAAGGAGCTGCTGCCCCGACTTGTGTCTTTAGGTGGCCACTTGGCCCAGCATGCAGCCAAAGGGGGACACCTGTGCCCAGGGGACAAAGGAGTATGTGGCCAGCAGCTCCAGTTCTTTGTCTTCATCCTTAGCCGGAGGTGAGATATGCTTACCTGTGGGCCAGAGCTTGCAGCTGGGCAGGGCCTCCAGGGCAGCGCAGACGGCAGTGGGCATAGGTATAAGGCAGCAGCTCCAGCCAATGTCGAGGGTGTAGTTCCAGATAGCACAGCAGAGTCTCAATAGCTAGAGGCAGAGGAAGGCTCAGAGGCTGCTGATAGCCTCTCCCTGTACCCCATATCTTCTTGGCTCCTTACCCTCCTCTGTCATGTCCAGAGCCTGTACTGTAGACTGCACTGGGAGTGCCCGCTTATGGCCTTGGCAGGCCTGTCCCAATACAGGGTGTGTTTGTTGGCCGTTGTGCCTCCGGGTGCACGTACAGGGTGGGAAGACACGCTGCACCAGCTTCTTCACAGCCAGGAAGTCAGTGCCATCAGCATGGGCGTGTCTGCGCAGTTCCCAAAGGTCTTCACCCTGCGTTGAGACAGTCATATGCACACAGTTTGGGGCTAGAGTGGCAGCTGCAAGGAAAACAGGATTTTCCATGCAGAAGTGGCATGGCATAGGAAGAGCGTAACCCCTGGGGAGACGGGGTGCCAACCTGCGGCTGCAGGAACAGGTGACAATGGGCGGGCTTCCCATCACGTCCTGCACGACCAATCGCTTGCACATAGCTCTCGAAGTTTGGAGGCAGTCCCAGGTGTAGCACAGCCCGAACATCTGACCGGTCCAGCCCCATCCCAAAGGCTACTGTGGCCACTACCACCCGTAGGTGGCCCTGCATGAAGGCCTGTTGTACACGTCGCCGTTCCTGGCTGCACATGCCAGCATGGTATGCTTCAGCTACAGCCTCAGGGCCGCAACCTTTAGAGAAGGTGCACAAATGGTTGATGGAACCGAGCAGGCATGCAGAAGAAAGGGTCCCTGGGGGCCCAAAACTATTCATGCCTACCTCTGGGCCTTGGATCTCTCACCGTGGACAGGCAGGTCCGGAGGAGTGCAGCCACCCGTTCTGTATCCTTCTGTCGATGGCAGTAAACGATAATAGAGTCCAGGGGACGAAAACGGTCACCCTGCAGCAGTGTCACCAGAGCCTGGCAATAAAGAGCAATTAGCATGGCGGGTCGTGGGCGTCTGCTGGGGCCCCTGGGATGCACATAACTACCTGGTCTGAATCTCGGTCCATGGACACGGAGAGGTGCAGATTGGCAGGGATGGAGGCCAACCCACTGAGCTCAGGCTCTTCTGCTATGCCCAGGTGCTGGGCCACGTCACATGCAGTGCTCCGTGTGGCCGTGGCTGTGAGACCCAGAAAGCAGCGCACACCCATCCGCTCCCGAAGGACCTGAACCGGGGACAGTGCTGAGTCACTTAGCCCGTCTGGGTCCCAGTCCACCTCCACCCTGACCCCAACAAAAGCTCACTTTGCAAACACGAAGGTAGCAGGGCCGAAAGTTGTGTGACCACTGAGACAGGCAGTGGACCTCGTCAATGCAGGCAAAGGCAACTGGAGGCAGCTGAGAGGCGTCGGGGAGGCTGCCAGGGCCCTTAGCCCCACACCTGACCAAGGCCTCAGGGGACACAATCAGCACCTGCACCTGGGCTGCCTTTACCTGAAGGGAAGAGGGCTATGGGCACGGCCCAGAGGGATGCCCACTACCACCCATCCATGGGGCCCTCCTGACCTTTTTCAAGACAGATTCTCGCTGTTTCTTGGTCATACCTGAGTGGAGGCAGGCTGCCTTCAGACATGGAGGCAGGTCAGACACCTGTGAGTGCAATGTTGTCACAGTCCAGCACAGCTCAGTCTCTGCCCTACTCAACCCTCTGGAAGGAAGAAAGCTCAGAGCTGGCCACCTGTGGACCTACACACCCTGGAGATAAGGAACTGGGTGAGAACACTGGGCACTAGGCTGTGCTACCCTTAGGAAGGTCGGAAACGAGAAGCATCCAATGGCATCAGAGGTGTCAGTTTGCAGACTTTCCAGGTACTAAGCCTGTCCAATACCTGGTCATCCATGAGTGACAGGAGAGGAGAGACCACCAGTGTGAGGCAGGGGCTTCGCTGGGCATACAGCAGTGCAGGAAGCTGGTAGCACAGAGACTTGCCAGCACCCGTGGGTAACACCAACAGAGTGGAGATGCCTGGACAGGACAAGAGGCAGCTGTAAGGCTCAACTTGCCAGACACAGCTTGGTGCAACTCTAGACAGTCACACCTACCTGAAAGAATCCGCATGACTGCACGTTCCTGACCAGGGCGGAAGGCTTGGTGCCCTAGCTGCTGTAGGGCCTGGAATACCTCAGCAGGGGTTTCTGTGGACACAGATGTGTGGTTTGAATGAGACTGGCCCCTACAGACCCCCATAGGCTCATGTATTTGCATGCTTAGTTCCTATCTGGTGAACCATTTGGGAAGAATTAGGAGGTGTGGCCTTGTTAGAAAAAGTGTGTCAGCACACGCCTTTAATCCCAGCACTGGGCAGGCAGATCCCTTTAATCCCAGCACTGGGCAGGCAGATCTCTGTGAGTTCGAGGCCAGCCTGGCCTACAAGAGCTAGTTCCAGGACAGGCCCCAAAGCTACAGAGAAACCCTGTCTCGAGAAAACAAAAACAAAACTGTGTCACTGGAGGTTGGCTTTGAGGATTTCAACAGTCCAGGCGAGGTAAAGTGTCTCTTCTGTCTCTCTGCCTGCTGATCAGGATGCAAAGCTCTCAGCCACTTCTCCAATACCATGTCTGCCTTTCTGCTTCCCACCAAGATAACAGACTAAGCTGCTGAGATGGTATGCAAGTCCCAGTTCAATGCTTCCTTTTCTAAGAGTTGCCTTGGTCACAGTGTCTCTTCACAGCAATAGAACAGTGACTAAGACATGTGTCGGGAAAGACTCTGAACCATTAAATTTCACTCACCTGCTACCTGCCCCAGGGCTCCTGGGGGGTAGAGGGGCAACACTGGGCAGGGAGGACAGGGCATCTGTAGCTTTAGCCCATCGGGTTCTGTGTCCTGACCTGCTTGGATAGGCAAGAGGCTGATGTGGGGGCACCAGAATCCACAGACCACCCTGGCCCAATGGCCTCTGGTCACATCCACCCATTCCCCTCACTTACCAGAGAGGGGGCAGGAAGGAGAGACTGTCATCTGTGCTACTTCTTCCAAAGCAGAATCGGGCTGTTTGTCTTCCCTGCCACCTTCCTCCTGGAAGGTCAGGGTGGAGCCTGGAGCAGAGTTAAGAGCTAGTGGAACCTTCTGTTTGCATAAGTAATTCTCTAGCCCCCCTTCCCAACAGTTAAATGACCCAGCACTCAAGGCAGAGGTTTACCTGGCTGGGAGCAATGCGATGCCCAGTGCCCAGACTGCCCGCACCGGAAACAAGTGTCCTTCGCTGTGGCTCTGGGTCCACTTCCCCCAAACTGCTCCCTTTTCTTCTTCCACTTTTGCTTCCATACCTGGGGAAGCCCACAGGGATTACTCAAGAGGGAGATGGGAGGCGAGGAAGGCCGGCCTGCTCCGGCTTCCGGCTCACCTGCTTCCGGAGAAGCCTGCCTCGACTAGCCCCAACTCGCACATAGCACTTCTGTTTCATGTTGAGTCGAACGTAGTTCCCCCTGTCCAGGGAAGCTGGTCGAGGGGAGATGTGGAGGTGGGCTGTGCCCTTGGCCTTCTCGGTCTTGGCCTGCTTTGAGGAGCGGGGCTGAG